AGCGAGCCCTGCCATGGGCTGTGAAATTCGGCAAGCTGCCCAAGCTGTGTGAGCGCGGCCAGGCTAGCTCGTGGGGACTAAGAAAACTGCATCACACACAGGCTGGCAGCCTGAGCATGGAGTTCAGTGTTGTGCCACAAGGGTGAAGGGCATATGAAGGATACAGACCGGGATTACCTTTCGAAAGGGAAGAAAACTATTCATTTTGTTTTGACTTAAAAGAGCATTTTGTTTCAGTTTACAAAAGTACCAAAAGGAGAAGAGAGTTGAAGCCAAAACACATTTTGTTGTTTCCGGTCAAGGCTGTGACAGACAAAGTTGTGTTATTTTGGTGGGGCTGGGGTTAAACTGAAACCAAACAACATTTTGTGGAGGCAAAATGAATATTCTTGTTTCCTTTCAAAAGGCTGACTCAAAATAAGAATTTCCCCTTTTAGGGTTCCCCGTATCATTTTTGTTGGAACTGACATATTCTGGTGAAAACAGATTTTGAAGAAACCGTATTATTTTGGCGGGAAAATGTTTTACACAAAGGATTTCCACTAGGGCTGTGTCTAGACTGGCAAGTTTTTCCGCAAAATCATATGATTTTGCGGAAAAACTTGCCAGTCTAGACACAGCCCTAGTGGAAATCCTTTGTGTAAAACATTTTCCCGCCAAAATAATACGGTTTCTTCAAAATCTGTTTTCACCAGAATATGTCAGTTCCAACAAAAATGATACGGGGAACCCTAAAAGGGGAAATTCTTATTTTGAGTCAGCCTTTTGAAAGGAAACAAGAATATTCATTTTGCCTCCACAAAATGTTGTTTGGTTTCAGTTTAACCCCAGCCCCACCAAAATAACACAACTTTGTCTGTCACAGCCTTGACCGGAAACAACAAAATGTGTTTTGGCTTCAACTCTCTTCTCCTTTTGGTACTTTTGTAAACTGAAACAAAATGCTCTTTTAAGTCAAAACAAAATGAATAGTTTTCTTCCCTTTCGAAAGGTCCATCCAAATCCAAATGTTTCTCCCCAACATTTTCAATGGGGAACCGACCAGGTCTAGATGAGGCAGAAGAGAAAGGAGTCTCCTAACCTAGATCTTGAGAGACCAAGGCTGTGCCATGCCATAGGTTTCCCGTGTGTCCGTGGACCATGTGTTTAGGCCTAGGTCCTCAAAGATATTTAGGTGAAACCCCCCACTGGGACAATTAAGGATCTTGGACAAGCCTGGATGCTCAGGGACAAGGTGGGACAAGGCATCTCCCACCTCAGTGCCTTGTGTATGGCCATTCTCCCTCAAGGCAACCCCACCTGTTTTCAAGCCCCACTAGTGGTTGGGGGGCTAGGCATTGTGCACATTTGTGTGTCAGAGAAACCCGTTGGCCTGCTTTCCCTCTAGGGCTACGTCTACACTGGCATGATTTTCCGGAAATGCTTTTAACAGAAAAGTTTTCCGTTAAAAGCATTTTCAGAAAAGTGTGTCTAGATTGGCAGGACGCTTTTCCGGAAAAGCGTCCATGGCCAATCTAGATGCGCTTTTCCGCAAAAAAGCCCTGATCGTCATTTTCGCGATCGGGGTTTTTTTTGCGGAAAACAGCACTGTGCTGTCTACACTGGCCCTTTTCCGGAACAGTTTTCCGGAAAAAGACTTTTGCCCGAACAGGAGCAGCATAGTTTTTCCGGAAAAGCACTGATGATTTTACATTAGATCGTCAGTGCTTTTCCGGAAATTCAAGTGGCCAGTGTAGACAGCTGGCAAGTTTTTCTGGAAAAGCGGCTGTTTTTCCGGAATAACTTGCCAGTGTAGACACAGCCCACGTGTGGGACTGTTGTGAGCTCTTTGGGGGCAGCAGAAACCAGCTTTTGGGTCTGTGTTTGGACACTGTCTAGCACATTACGGTCTTGCTCCATGACTAGGCTCCTAAAGGCTACCGTAGTACTCCTAAGAAATAGCAATAATAAGGTACAGTGCCTATGACAACAGGGCCCTCATCGATGGCCACAACCCCTAGACCCTACTCTAATCTATTAATAAATTATAATAATATTATACAGTGCCTAGCACAGCAAGGTCTGACCCATGGCTGGGACTTCTAGGCAATACCATAATACACCTAGTGGCTGCGTCTAGACTGGCAAGTTTTTCTGCAAAAGCAGTCGCTTTTGCGGAAAAGCTTGCCAGCTCTCTACACTGGCCACTTGAATTTGCGCAAGAGCACTGACGAGCTAATGTAAGATTGTCAGTGTTCTTGCACAAATACTATGCTGCTCCCGCTCGGGAAAAAACCCTCTTGGGCAAATGCTTTTACGCAAGAGGGCCAACATAGACAGCTAAAAACTGTTTTGCGAAAAAAAGCCCTGATGGCAAAAATGGCGATCGGGGCTTTCTTGCACAAAACCGCGTCTAGATTGGCACAGACGCTTTTCCGCAAAAAGTGCTTTTGTGCAATAGCGTCCATGCCAATCTAGACGCTCTTTTCTGCAAATGCTTTTAACGGAAAAACTTTTCCTTTAAAAGCATTTGCGGAAAATCATGCCAGTCTAGATGTAGCCCTAATAAATAGCAATAATGCACAGCACCTAGCACACTAGAGAGATGGTCCGTGACTGGACGTCTAGCCATGACTATTGCGCCCACTGACAACGATAATGAATTGTAACCATCTCGCATGCGCTTTCATTCATCCTGACCAAATCCCGAGTTCCTTACTCAGCTCTAATTCCGTCTCTACGTGCGCTTTGGTGAATGAGGGCTAAGTCAGTCCTGACTGTAGGGTTGCCAGTTGGGGCTGGCCATGTTCCTGGAGGTTTCATCACGCCTTCAAGTCTTTGCTTAAAGGGTTACTTTTTAATTGTTGGAGACTCCAAGACACTTCCAGAAGGCCAGCAACCCTAGTAGGGACTAAGTGCAAAGTAAAGGCCTCAGGTTTCAGTCCAGTGTTTATAACTAGCCTCAGGACTTGGCTCACAATGAGCCATTGTATTTCTGCCAACCCCATTGCTAGGTGAGCTCAGATCCTCAGCTGCCAAGAGCAGATGGAAGTATGTACGTTTCACCACTGGCCTCTAAGACGGTACATACTGTTCGCAGTCTGTTCATCCCTTAAGTCACCTTCTCCAGCTCCATCCTCAGGGCTTGGCACGTTGGCTCAGGGTACCAGCACGTTAGCCAAAATGCTGGTCCCTGGAGGAACCGCCAAGGCCTGTCAAAGCAGGGTCACGCTTAGTGAGTTGTATAGCCACGCCCATCGCTTTGAAAAAGGAAGGGGGTGAGGCTGGGGAAAACGTAACCATGGCAGACTGAGCCTTTGCCATATCGTGGCATTGAGGCCATGCCCAAAATATACCAGCAGTGCAGGTGCTAAAGGGTGTCACCAAAACATCAGGACACAGGCTGGCTGATGTATGGACCTCTCTTGTTTAAGACAGATCTGCCGCTGCTCACCCAGCATGCGAGCCAGGCTGGGGCTATTCAGCTGCCAGCTGAAGTGAGGCAGGTGCAGAACCTCCAGGAAGCAAAATCATTCCCAGACCTCCGTCCACACACCTTCCCCTCTCCAGAATGCAACATGATCCTCTGCACCCTGCTAGAGTTGCCAGGTGTCCCATCATTGCATCTTCTGAAAAAAACCAGAAAATACTGGACATGTTTTTCTTGGATGGAAGGCCAGGGGGACATTTTTCCCTGCCGTGTTTGGCGGGGGGAGTGTTGAGCGCAGGAATTTAAAGACGAATTTTTTTGCTCAACAAATGTGGTCTCCGAGTTTTGGTTTTGTTTTTTTTGCTCAACCAAATTTTTCCCCACCATGTTCAGGACTCTGTGGTGGCTAGTGCCCCTGTGGGCCTGAGCAGAGAGCTCAGACCATACAAGCACATCCGTACAATGCTCTCACTCGGACCACACCAGCAGCATGGTGGCCCGGCCCTGGCGACGGGCTCTGCCCATTGGCTCTGTGGGAAAGTAGGCAGTAAGTGCAGTTGCAATCCTCATCAGTACCTGGCATCAGACGCGAATTCAGGGGTCGCATCCATGTGCCACCTCAGGCATGGTGCCCATGTGCCAAGCAGCAGCACCCATCTGCCCCTGGATGTCTGGACCTCGGGTTCTTCCAGAAGCTGTCTGGTGTCAGAGAAGCGCCTAACAGCTAGGGCACTGGACTAGGCCTCGGGAAAACAAGGGGTCAAATCCGCGTGTGGCTGCAGACCGCCTGTGTGACCATGATGGGGTCACGTCCCCTCTTCTGAGTTTCAGCTTCTGAGCAAACAGGGTGGGATGGGGTGCCCGGCCCCCATGAAGGCAGAAGGAGTGGTGGGGCAGGGCTGGGCCAAGGACCAGCTGGCCAGGGTGCTCTGGCAGTGGAACGGAGGGTGGGGGTTTGAGGTGAAGGACAGCGAGACGGCAGAGAGGCTGTAGCCTGAGGCAGAGTGAGCCACAGGGGTAGGACCAGGACTGGTAGACCTGGCCAAGAGGCTGGGGCCCGACCGGGGGAACAATTGGACCCCGAGTGAGCTGGGAAGCACCCCTGTCAGCTTTAGAAATGGCTGAAAGCAGAGTTGCGGGGCCATGCCCCAAACTGAAGGGAAAACAGGGAAGGTGGAAACAGCCAAAAAAGGCTGATCTGGAGTAAGAGGCAGAAGGGATTGAGGCCTTTCCACCTCAGAGCCAGGCCTAGACTTGGTGGAGAGGGTGGGCCTGGGGACCCCACTGTTCCCTCCTCCTCCAGCCTCTTGAGAGTCCCTGGCAGGCATGGGAGACAAACTTGAACACTGGGCCCCCAAGGCTCCCCAGCAAAGCCAAGCCTTGCGATAGGAGACTGGCTGCAGCCTGACCACCATGCCTGCTGGCCCCTAAACAATCCCTCCCCCCCCCCCCCACACACACACACACACTGCATGGCAGGATGTGGTGAGGCCCAAGCCCAGGCAGTCAGATGGCATGGCCAGGGCAGGCAAGCAGATCAACTTGGAGCATTCACAGTCAAGCCCTGAGTAAGTGAATAAAGCTGAACCACTTGAGTTATTCTGACTTTTATTTCATTGCTGCTTAGTCCACACAGTCGGTATAAAATCAGAAAAAGCAAAGCAAAAAACAACAAACATCCTACGGTCTGGAGTCTTAGCATCAGAAGGCACCATATGCGAATCTACAGTCAGATGCCCATAAAATTCATTGCCAGACACACCTCTGAAGCACAGAAAGAGGGTTACAGAAGCTGGACTCTGGGTTTCCATCCAGAGATTTGGTTTCTCCTACTCCTGACCAAGAAGGGGGTGGGGGGGATTGGTTATAAACACATTATTAACAATAATACTAAGAGCAACTTGTCTAAGTACAAAAGCCGTTATAGACCACTTATATTACACAATTATTTCTCGTTTCTACCTTCGTTGTTTACCTCATAAAATTGTTAACTGAATTTCCAGTGAGTAATGTTAAATGGCTAGTGATAAGGAATGGCAAATAGATAGCACCATTTCACATATTTGGTATTTTATTTCATAGCTATATATTGGTTTTGATTTTTCCCCATCTTTATCTACACGGCAAGGAAGGAAAAATACATTTCAAGGTCATAGGCTACAGTGCTTGGGTGGTTTGGGTGTGTGGGATGGGACATGAGAGCGTTATACACAAGATCTAACACCAGGATGTATCAGCATTCTAAGGGGAAACTTCCAAAATTAAGGTACGCACGTTACAGTAAAATTCCAGTGGAACTGGTAGCTACATATTTTAAAAGCACCTAAGTGAGTTAGAAGCTCAGGTTCCCAACTGGGTGTGGTTGGCAAGTTAGGAAGACTTCGGTTCCTACATCACCTAGGTGGTTTTGAGAATTTGGCCCTGTGCTCCTAAATGTCTGGGGCCCGGTAGTGATACATGCACATACAGGATCACCGCATGTGTGGCGGGGGCCAGACCTTCAGCTGGGGTAAGTGGGCACGATTCTCCCTCAGGTCACCGGCACGACGCTGATTTACACCCGCTGGGGATCTGGTCTGGCTTGGGGATTCTTTGGCGGGTTGCTTTGGGGTGGGAGTTTTCCAAGAGGCGTCCATTGGCATTCAGGGCAAAACAAAAACAAGGACACAAAAATACTGCGCTCTTGTTATACTGTTAGGAGTTCCTTAGGCACTTTCTTTAGGCTTTAAAACATAGCAGATGGTCAACAAAAGCAAACAATACTATGTACATATATGTAAAAAGTGTTATAAATAGGTTTTTTAAACCATAGATACTATATACATCTTCAATGAACACAGTAACCCTTGGCGTGGTTCCTTGTGGGGTTTGTTGTTGTTTTTTTTTTTTTTAAATTTGGAGGGTGGGGGGTTACTTAACTCTCCCCCTCCCCCATTTTCTCGTCTTTTCTTCCCCTGCCTCAATCCCCCTCCATGGACGTCATGAGTGCCCGTGTCTCGGCCCCCTCGCCTCAAGCTTCGTTATTCGCGCTTCCGCAAGATGACGTAGATCACCCCGCTGGTGACAGCCAGGGGGAAGGCCACCCAAGCCAAGATGTAGGCGAAGCCGAAGGCGGTGTCCCCTGTGGTGGGCTGCCAGTCCGTGTGCCTCACGGTGAAGATGGCGGCGCCGCTCATCACGCACAGACCTAGGGAGAAGACGTGATATGGATCAAGCTGCCCTGAGGATGCTTGGTGTCATGCAAGAGCTGCCCCGGCTTCCCCGGCCTGCCACGCTGGCAGGGATCATGCCGAGCAGCGCTGATTAAAAACCCGCCCATCCTATCGAGAACCCTGGGCCACAAAGCAAGAAGCCTGGTTGAAAAATCTGGGGGGGACAGGGGTGCAGCTGGAAATAACGGCAGCGTGAGACCGGAGATGTTGAGCAGAGCTCTCGGTTGGTGATTTTTGGACTGACACACAATCGGTCACCCCAACCACGCGTGCAACCTGCTCACGGAATCTGAGCTCTGAAAAGGCAATAGCATGTGGGTAACCCCCGCCCTTGGGGGCGAACGCTCACGGGGTTAGTCCCACCGCAGTCCCTGGAACAGAGTGCTCCCCAGGGCCAGGAAGGGCTGTGTAATCGAGCCAACGGCCTCCCACAGCTACTGGGCATGCTCTCGAACAGCCCTGCCACAGCCCCTCGACCCCACTCTGCACCGTTTCCCAATTTCGCAATTCCTGAGCCTCTAGAGGAGAAATCCCCCCCCCCCCATGCCCAGTTTCGTAAGATCCCCCACCCAACTCCTGCTCCACGTGAGCCAAGCCATGATTCAAACCCGGAGTCTGCAGCGGGCACTCACTCCCGTCCCACTCGAGCGCCGGCGGCAGGGTTAGATAGCACAAATGCTTTCGATAGGTCTTGGATCCGACCCCTGGGGCATTCGACGGGTAGGTCTGTTTCTGAGCAATGTGGCAGGTGCGCGGATTCATTTCCGAACTCCCAAGCCTTGCGTCAGGAGCACGAGGCACAGGCTTTGCCCGGGACACCCCACGCCTGCAGGTGCAGCAATGCCAAGAGCCCTTCTGCCGTCGAAATCTCAGGCTGTGGCAACATGCAGAAGTCGCCAAAAGTTAAAACGGATCAAGCTGTTTTTTCTGCCTCCCATTGTCGACATTTCATGGCCACATTCCTTGCTCCCCTGATGCAGAGCAAAGCATTATGGGTAACCATCCCACAGGGCAGAGTGGTGGGAAGGCAGAGCTAATCCCTGTGCTTCTTGGGATTCCCTGGTAGCTCTGGGAACTCTCCGTGCTGAGGAACGTCAAAGCAGCATGGCTGTCTCTCCAGTCCTCCCTCTGCAACAGCAGCCTGCCTGCCGCTGTGTTCCTAGCAGGGCAGAAGAGAAGCAGTCCAATGATTTGTTCTTTGTTTGTTCCCCAAATGGAGCAGCTCACTCAGCTGTCGGCCACTTCCCGGAGCTTTAAAAGGGGAGGGGCGCAGGCCTGCCGAACAGCAGAGATCACAAAACACTGAGCACAGCCATTAGAACAGGCACTGTGGGATAGCGGCGGGAGTTAGTTCTCTTGACAAAACCAACAAAGGAGTCCACACTGGCTATCTGTCAGCAATAAATGGAGGTGGAAAAGACAAACATCCCTCGCAGGGCTGGAAGTGTTTTGTTGCCAAAAGGCAGTTTTTGGTGACAAAATGTGCCAGTGCAGACAAGGCCTAAGTGTGCTTCAGAATGGGTCTGTATCCAAATGTATTTGGTAAAAGTGTGCTCGAGTCCCTACGCCCCCGCCCCAGTCCCCCCTGCCCGCACTCTGGATCAGCTCACAGATGGGGGGAGGAAACAGAAACACCCGCCACCGTGGAAAGTTTGTCTGTCAGGGGATGAGTACACCCTCTCTATTCCCCTGCTACCCCATGCCCAAGACTGCCAAGGGCCAACCCTAGGAGCCCTGAGTCAACAGTGGGCCAGGCGCGACCCCTCTGAATCATAGCATTGACCAACGCTCCAGCAGTGTCGCAAAAAGTGCCCACATCGGGGGCTGCAAAATGCTCGCACAAAGCCGCCACTGTCCCCCGCCAAGAACAAGGCTTTAGTTGATCTCCGCCATTCCATTATCCATTCACGGTGCCATTGAAGCTAACTCTATTCCAAATCTCTCCAGCGGGCAGCAGGACCACCTACAGCTAACGGCAGGTCTCCGGGAGCTGTTCTTTCCCTTCACACTGCGCCTTTGTTTGTGGGAACTGCAGAGGTGGGAATAGGTTCAACCAGCAAGCTGCTGAATGCCGTTTCCATTTTTCAAACAGAGAAGAGAACTCCTACGGCACTGGCCCGTGCAGAGAAAGCAAAACGATTGTCTCTGCACTCGGGTGGGACAGAAAAGCAGCAGGCGGCCATTCCAGAGGCACCTACGGACGGCTAGAAATACTGCGGTCGATTGTCCATTGAAGGAGTCTGGTGGAAGAGAAGAGATGCTAATGACCGCGTTTCTCTTAGCAGTACAGAGCTAGCGATTCTCACCAAGGGGATACGCTCCTGTGATAAAACACAGGGGAGGGCTCGAAGAAAGCTGCAGTCTCTTTCCTGTTCCAAGGCGCAACTTGTGCAACTCCTTTGGGGCTTGAGCTCCAGATACCTGATGGCGATGCTTGTGCACAAAGGCATTTGCATGAATAATACTTCTCTTCCAAAGGACGTGGTGGGGTCTGAAAAGCACGTTGAGATCCTTGGATGGAAGGGCATGTAGAAGTGCAAAGTAGTGTAATGTTAGGCTGTCCGCACCTTGCCTCAGTTCTCGATCTTCTGTAGCTCTTGGTAGCCTGAACCCGCAACCACCAGGCAAGGACAGCTGTGAATTAAGCCCACTCTCCCATCTGAAGGGGATTGCGTTTTTGGGGATTTGGGTGTGTTCATAGAGCAGCATTGGGAAAACTTGTACGCTTGGCTCTCGCCCACCCTCTATTTTGTGACTTTCAGACTAACACACCTCTCATATGGTTAGATTAGAGGAACTGTCCTGCAGAAGAAAAGGAGCTAACCTGTCTGCTCTCAGACGTCTTTCAGTAGCAGGATAACCCTGGTACCATGTCTGCTTGTTGCACACAAGGAGTTGCAAGCCGTTGCTGGGTGTAGTGGCTGCTGTCTTTGCCTGCACAACCACGTTTCCATCTCAGGGCTTTGCAAAATACCTTGACATGCATGGAACGCAAAAGCCCCTCAGAAAACCCAATTTGCATCTGGTGGAGCCTATGCCACAAAGGAGCGCAGTGTACTGACTGCCGTCAGACAATGAAAACTGGTGACGGAGCCGGAAGCATTGACTCGCGAGGGTTCTTTCTGTCTGCCAACAGCCTGACTCATCTCATGCTTGTACTGCGTGTGGAAGCGATCTATGAGTATTTGCAGCAGTGGACACCCAGGCTAGATTGGGAGACGTTTAAGGGTGGCGGAAGGGGGCTGACTTAGGAGTAACGGGCTGAACTTGCAGCGAGGAATCTTTAGGCAGCCTGCCAGGAAACGCTTCCTAACGGCAGGATCTAGACCCTGAAAGAATCCCCCGAAGAAGGCCTTCGGGAAAATGCTTTAGGGGCCCCCAGCACTGGCCCAGAAGGAGGTACCCAATGAGAACTCCCAGGGCTGGTCTCTCCTGAGTGCCTTCAGCTCCACGCTTCCCACAAGGCTGGGATACACGGGAGGACTATGGGCTGCGGCACCTCCCCAGAAAGCGTCAGCAATGGTAGGAGACGGGCATCTCCCCTCAGCCGAAAGGCCCACATGGACTGGAATGAGCGCAGCCGGGTCCGAGAGCCGAGCCCTTGCACTTGACAGCCCCGGCTTCCGCCCTCGCACAGCTGGTGAGTCAGGCTCCACAACCAGAGGAGTTGACATTGCGGCCCAGGCTGAGTCGTCTAGTCAGCGGGTTACCATGGGGGCGGGATCATCTCAAGAAAGTCAGGGCGTGCCTGGGAAGAGACCGCGCCTCCCCGCCCACACGGGCACGCTGCAGAAGCTCCACCCGGCCGCAGTGGGATTTCCATCGCTCGCACTGGCACTGCCAGGGACCTCCAGAGGGAAACCCACAGGCAGGTGATGGTTCCTTGCTGACGGGCTCTAAATCAAGGCTCCTCCGGAGCTGGGCCTTTCCAAGACCACATACAGGGCAAGGATAATCCCCACAATGACAGGATGCAGGGGCGGATATAGGGCAGGGCGAGCGGGGCGGCCGCCCTGGGCCCCACGCTTCAAGAAGCCCCGCGCATGCGCCGTGTCAAAGGGGGCGCCCCACAAAATTGTGCTGCCCTGGACCCCGCAAAATCCTCAACTGCCCCTGACAGGATGCGACAGGAATGTGCTCTTTTGGCTGCCAACACCAGCCTGTCGTCTTCCGGTACGTGAGGAAATCGGGGTGGAGGCCAGGGGGAGACCCACCGGCTCTCCTCCGGTCACAGCTGCTGAGCTCCACAGGGGGGAGCACACGGATTCTAGCTGCTGTTTACTTCCAGCCATCCTGAAATTCAGCTCACAAGGCCTAGCAATGCTGAGCGACCCCGTGCAGACGTGGGGTTACGCACGCAAACACTAGCCTGGTCTCCATTTCTACCCCCAGGGCTCCTTTGGGACTGGACATCTCACAAGGACTTGTTTGCCCAACTCCGTAACAGATCGCTTAGGAATGATCCGCACTACGCAGCCCCGGCTGTGCGGGCACCTAACTACAGTTCAAAGAAACAGGTTTTCAAAGCTGAACGCTATCTAAGATGGAGGTGCTGCAGCTGGGAATTGAGGGGCTGGCTAACTGGGTGAGTGGCAGCGCCCCTGGCTGAGGTGCAAGGCCCAGCTATCAAGCACCTCTCTGGGGGAAGACGTCTCAGGTCTCGTGCCATCGGTTCAGGAAGCCTCCCGCTGGTCAGTATGACAGCCCGGAGCGGTGAGGTCCCTGGGCCGGTCTCCCTCCGCAGGCAGCCAGCACCCAGGCTCTCGGCTCACCGAAGGAGGACGTAGCTCCTGGACCACACTCAGCCCTGCCGTCCATCTCCACAGCAAGTCGGTGGAGTTGCCCCAGGGTCTCAGCAGCCCCCAAAAGGCAAAGGGGCCGTTCTGCGTGTGCCCAGCCCGAGGGGTGCTGGGGCTGAATTTCAGAGCTGCTGAGCACATGGAATCCCCGGCTAATTCATTCGGAGTTAGCACCGACCCCGGCGGATGGGCCAGGGTTACCATCAGGAAGCTGAAAGCGCAGGAGGAGCTAGAGCTCTCCCAGCAGGAACTCCGACAGGCTGCTAACCTCTGGGGACCGGGCAGGGTGTGGGGGCCATGGAACACGCCCACATCTCAAGGCAGACCAGGCCTCTCCTCACGCTCTCTTCTCCTCGGTGCAGGAGTCCACTCAGAGGCTGTTGTGCTGCCAAGCAGGGCAGCTGCTAGAAGAGCCAATTCCCACTGCCCCGAGCCTAACCCTGCATCAACTAAACCACTGTAACAACCCGGCAGAGCCCTCTGTGTTATTCCAGAGCTTGCTCCTCGCCCGCCAGCAGCCTCGCACCGCCACCCAGCAGCGGTTTCCCTCCGCACGCTCCGAGCCAGCCCCATTTATCACTCCCCACTTACCGGCAAGGATCTGGAAGATTCCAGTAAGGTAAAACCGGCCCCCCTTGGTGAGAGTGAAGAGCTGGCAGAAGAACAGGAACAGAGACAGCACGCTGAAGATAATGGAGAGGATCATCATCGCCTGGACGGACTGCAGCCACTCTGGGGAAAACAGAAACGCACAGGCAGTTAGAGCGGAGATCTCGGGGGCGGGGTGTGTGTGTGTGTGTGTGTGTGTGTGTGTGTGTAAATCACTGTGTGTGTGAGAATAAGTGTGTGTGTGTGTGTGTGTAAATCACTGTGTGTGTGAGAATAAGGGTGTGTGTGTGTGTGTGTAAATCACTGCTCCTCCCTCTCCAAAGCCTGGTTCCCGGCCCCTAAAGTCAATTTTTGGATGTTGTTCCAATGACTTCCGGGCGCGCTGGCTCCGGCCCAGAGGCTCTTGGTGTGCACAGATGTGGCTCCACGGGAATGACACGACTTGTCTCCACTCATGTACAGCAGAGACCCATCCTGCAAGGCTACAGACCGGCCAGGTCTCTTTCCACCTGCGCCACCTGTGATTCACGGGAGAACAAACATCCTTCCCTGAGCAGACACCAGCTAATTACAGGAAAGCCCTGCAGAAGCTACCCCCGCTACCCAACAAGAGCCCTGGGATTTGAGGGCAAGCCGGCCTGGACAAATCATGCCGTGGTCCCAGCATGGTGACACAAAGCACTGTAGGAGCGTCCCGGAATGCCGCCATGCCGGGGTGCCAGGACCTCCCTCTTCGGAAATGACTCTGGCCCATGTTTGCTCAGCGCCAAGGAGGAGACTTTCAAAGCAGACTCACATGGTTCTGGGATGCTCGACTTCCTTAAGGGAATGGGAATTGGGCGTCTCAGTCCGTTAGGCAGCCCTGAAAGTGCCACGTCCTCCGTGGCAACTGCTTCTCTCCTGTCTCGCTGCTTGGAGCATCTTCCACTGCACGTGGACCACACCCCGGGGCCTGGCTTGTTTGGGAACGAAACAAGGTGCAACGTGCCACACGAGAATTCTGGAACACGTCCCCAAATCCGTGGGCAACGTGGTTATTTGTAACGTGGGAGCATCCATCTCCGTGGGCCACGGGGACTCACTGGAGTCTGATCCAAAGCCCACAAGAGTCTGTCGACATGTTCTCAGTGACTTCAGTAAGTTCTGGAGCAGGCCCTGATGGGAACCACGGAAGCCAAGGAAGCGAGGGACCTGCCCAGCTCCTTGGTGTCACAAACAGCCAGTGGGTATTAACACTCCCTCTGCCACCTTATGGAACAAAGCCCTTAGCAACGGCTTTATCACAGCAACATTTGGCAACTGGTAAGGAGGAGCTGAGTCAGACCAGCCCCTGCATACCGGCCAGCTCTTGTCATTATTTGTGGGTGCGTAACTCCCCATAGAAAGCAAACCCAATGCTACAGCAGTGACTCAAAGTATCACAACTGTGCTCTGGTGACCTGCAGAGCTCAGGACCACCCGAGCGTGGTCGTTGTAATGAAGGCTCACACGGTAATAGTGGCTCTTTAAATAAAACGGGACATAAACCATCAATACTGCCACGTCCTGAGATAGCAAAGCATGTCAAGTCATTCAGTCATGTACAGGACGCAACGGTTGTGATCAAAGCTCCCTCTAATTTTTTCCATTCTTGTGCAGAATAAATGTCGTTCTATGCACCAAAGCAAGTGCAGATGTGCACCACTGGTAGAAACACTGGTTGGAGATTGTGGGCACCCTGCTAATCAGCTGGGTGGCCACCCTCAGGCTCAGCTTACAGGGAACACTGCTCTTATCCTCATTGTATGGAAACTGAAGCATAGCGCAGGGACGTGACTTGCCCACGGACACAAAATAAGCAGCAGACCCAGGACCATAAGCCATGAGAGATGTGGCCACACGGACGTCCATTCCCACCTCCCGAAGATCGGAGCCAAACCTCTCGAATCCCAGCCTTGTGCTTTCCCCTTCCCTACAGAAGGCTGCTTCCCCGCTACGCTAGCTGTGTCCCACTTTCAGTCCATGTGAACTGTTTGAAACCAGCCAGCCATGAATGTCGGCACCGTGCCCAGCTCCTGGGTGAGTCACATGACGGCCAATGGCTCGTCTCTGTCTAGCTGCCTCCGTGCCGCTCCACTGGGGCTTTCCATTGCATAATGCAGCTATTTTAGAACCCAAAGGTCAATGCTGTTCTCGGTGGCATGGCTGTTACTCCCACTGACGTCCAGGAGCCCAGAGTAGAACTCCCCCCCACACTGAAACAGACTCTAATTGTGACCCACCCTGGCACCACCCTGCCAGAGACAGCTGCCGAAGAGTCCTGCAGATTTAACAGAAAGCAATCACTTGAGAATCCTGGAATCCCAGAGCTGGAAGAGACCTCGGGAGGCACCGAGTCCAGCCCCCTGCCCAAAGCAGGACCAATCCCAACTCAATCAGCCCAGCCAGGGCTTTGTCAAGCCGAGACTTAAACACCTCTAGGGAGGGGCTGGAATCTCCATCCCTAGGGAACCCAGCCCAGTGCTTTCCAGCTCTCCTAGGGAAACAGGTTTTCTTAATATCCAACCTAGACCTTCCCCACTGCAGCTTGAGCCCATTGCTCCTTGTTCTGCCATCTGCCCCCACTGAGAACAGCCTCTCTCCATCCTCTTTGGAACCCTCCTTCAGGGAGCTGAAGGCTGCTCTCAAATCCCCCCTCACTCTTCTCTTCTGCAGATTAAAGACCAAATTCCTCAGCCTCTCTTCGTAGGTCATATGCTCCAGCCGCTGTATCATTTTCATTGCCCTCCGCTGGACCCTCTCCAATGTGTCCACATCCTTCCTCTAGTGGGGGGCCCCAGAACTGGACCCAACACTCTAGATGTGGCCTCACCAGGGCCGAATAAAGGGGAATCACTTCTCTAGATCTGCTGGCAATGCTCCACCTAATGCACCCCAATATGCTGTTCCCTTCTTGGCTACAAGGGTGCCCTGTTGACTCAGACAGACAGCTTCTCATCCACTATAATCCCCAGGTCTTTCCTACAGATTTCTTTGAGTGCCTCTGAGCTAACAGAAAACACTCAAGGATAAGGCATACAACTCTGGATCTGTTTAATTCCAGAGTTTGTAGAGGACTTGTCATGGAGCTCGAGTGCATTTCTGGAGTCCTGTTAGTTCCACTCCTTTAGGATTGGCCCCCTCCCCCAGGGTCTTTCAAACTTTGCAGGTGCCGTAAGTGCAGGGAGGTTGCCCTAGCAGCCACCCCCAACTCTAGTTCCTGTAACTAGATCCTGCCGTCCTAGAGTCCCACGCAGAGGGCCAAAGACAGGTCTTGACCACACAAGCAAAGGGGAGTCAATGAGAGCTGCCGCCATGCAGTTCAAAGCCTTTGGCCTCCCTTTTCTATTGTGTGTCCTGTCCCAAAGTGCAGGGCTATTCAATAAGAGCCGCTGTATTTTATCCCAGAGGTGGCTGCATCTCAGTGGTGAGCCAGCATGTATCCGTTTCTAACGGCACGTGCCATCGCTGAGACGGGAGGACTATCAAGGAGAGTCTCAAGGATCATTCCCCGTTTTCACACGCCACGCGCATGAAATGTTCAGAACGTCTCGTCGATTTCACGTTCCCCGTTAGGTCAACAAAGGGTGCGCTCTCCTTCAGCTCTGCCACTCGGCAGCTTCTGGAATGCTGGGCTCTCAGGGAGACAAGAGGCGGTGAAATGCCACTAATGTAATCAAACTAATGAATCAGGCTGTGCCCACACTTAAAGCACGACAGAGGCAGCACTGCGGGGCAGCCACTCGCTGCAGAGACTCCGGCGCGGTCGTTAATCCGGCTCGCTGGCGAGGCAGTAGCTATGTCAACAGTCGAATTCTTCCTTTGATCTAGCACCGTCTGAGGGAGACAAGAGGCGGTGAAATGCCACTAATGTAATCAAACTAATGAATCAGGCTGTGCCCACACTTAAAGCACGACAGAGGCAGCACTGCGGGGCAGCCACTCGCTGCAGAGACTCCGGCGCGGTCGTTAATCCGGCTCGCTGGCGAGGCAGTAGCTATGTCAACAGTCGAATTCTTCCTTTGATCTAGCACCGTCTG